GGTCTGAACGGCCCGACTTGCGTTAAGTTGCACAACTTACAACCAACAGGACTGAGGCTTGTGGAGAACCAACTGCCCACACTGACCTGTCCTGCGGGCGTCAGGATGAAGCTCTACAAATACCACAGCCACAGAAGCGAGAGCCACGAGAACCAGGCATTTCTAGAATTAACCATTCCATGTTTTCCTTTGCCCGATTCCTGATCCTAAAAGGGGCCTCACTCCCTCTAAGGGGTCTGAACCGCCCGTCTATTAGAGCGACCCCAGCCCTTCACTTGGGGCTGCTGGGGAAGCTGGGTCTGGGAGCTCCGTCCTTGCCGCACAGGCGAGAGCCCCTCCGCAGCCAGCAGCAAGCCGGCCGGGGAGAGGCGCTGCCAAGGGAACGGCGGTGATGACAATTCAGGGTCTGCCGCGGCCTGGCACTAGGCAGCCAGCAGCTCCTCGTAGCCATTTGTCATTAAAATAAGAAAGAGGAACGGAGAATCATCACCTCCACGGAAGCTATCTGAAATGGCCTTATTTTGAAATGCTGCCTTAAAATGTGGACACATCCTGACACTCAAGCACCCTCAGCCAGAACGTCAGCAGAGCAGCGGGCTCGACCTTAAGAATGTGCAAGCTCACTCTCCGTGGAGGGGGACAGCAACGTCACCTGAGGGCGGAAGAGGGACTTAGAACGTGGGAGGCAGATAGGTACAGCTTTGCCCCATGTGCCTGGAGTCACCAGAGAAAACAACTCCCCAGCTGCCCAGGGCCGCAGATGCTCCAGAAGGACCGGCCAGCGGAAGGCAGCAGCCGCCCTGACCTGGCAGGAATCCACACCCCCAGCCCCAGCCTCCAGACCCCAGAGCACCTGAGCTCTTCCCCAGGGTGTGCAGGGGGACCGGTGGGAGGGCAGCTTCTCATCCCTGGCAGAAAAAACTTAACAAATGCCTTAAAGAAGAAAAGCGGGGGGGGGGGGTTCATCCAAGATGGAGCTTTGCAAATACACCCCACAGCACCGTCCGCACATTCGGCTGCTGCTGTTCGCATTTCTAAGCACTGACAGGTTTCGCCGCTGTGGCTGCTGTTTGGGCAATGCTGGGTTCGCAGGGAGGGCCGGGTTTGGTGGTAAGACTTGAACCCAGGGCCCTGGGCATGCTAGCATGCCCTCCACCCTGAGCCACACTCCCAGCCCCAAAATGCTGCTTTTAAACTCAGATTGTCACAATGGCTGCTCCTCCACTGTATAAGAAAGTACCTCAAGAATTTATTCTCTCAAATTCACCTGATGAGTGAGACGAACATATACACGGTTGCTTATATTTTTAAAAAAGATAAGCCATGTAAAGACGGCTCCCCGTGAGAGACAAGTAGGAACAGAACAGAATCAGGAGCTCAGGAGTCCGACCGCCTTGAACGTGGCTGGTTCTGTGGATTTGATTTTGGAACTACATAAATATTTTACATAACTACGAAACAAATTCAAATGCTGCAAAATCAATTCCTTAAAAATCAAAAAATAAACTGAATTCAAAAAAGGATCCACCTGGGGGACCTCTCTCCAGAACAGATGTTCTCTGCAGCCTTAATATACTATTTTGCTCATCAATCTCCAGAGGGAATGTGCTGTAAAGAGAAAGAACTGTCAAGAAGAGACTGTCACCAACACCAGCCGCCATCTCATCACATTCAGAGATCAGCGGCCACCTCACCAGGGACATCTCAGGGACGCGTGGAGCTACCGTATACCCTGCCAGCACCATGGAGTAAGCACTGGGGGCATCTGGCTTTCCTTCTGCGGCATGCTCTGGGACTCAGGGACGTGTGTGAACCACAGGCCTAAGCAGATGATCAGGTCGCTGTTCTGGAGAGCGAGGATTCCTGACCTGGCCGAGGGAAAAGCAGATGGGTGGGGAGAGGAAGCACAGACCACGGCTCGGACCTGCACCGGAAGTCTTAGTATGAAATTTCAGGGTGCATTTTGTGTTTAATAATGTACATTTTTGAGAGCTTCACTTGAAATGATGCTCAACCCAGAAGCAACGGGAGCTACTGTCATCCTCGCCACGGTTTCTAGATACGCTTCCCACTAACGGTGAGCAGGGCTCCTTGGGAGGACGGTGATCCAGGCCTCAGGCAGGAAAGGCACAAGGCAGGTCTGGGACACTCTGCCATGACTGGGAGGGAAGAGCCTCTCAGGCACCATTGGAGTCAGATCAGAAGGACCTGGGTGGCAACGCAAGGAGGTTCCCCCTGGTCACAGATGAAATAACTGGCACATCAACAGCGTGACAACTAGGCCATCAATAGGGTGACACCAGGCAGCTGGATAGGATGACATCTGGAACAGACTGACACACATCAAATGCATTTAGACCATTTGTCTGTAACGATATGCATATTTTAAAATCTCACCTGTCACCTTGGGAGGATGCTAGAGAACTCATTATTTTTAAAACAAATAAATAAAGGAATCTGGCATTTCCAACAGGAACCTCGAGCTAACCAGCAGTAGATGAGAATTCTCCTGAAGAGAAGGATCCCAGAGAAGAACCGAAGAAAGGCCACGAGGATGCAAAACCTTCTAGTGACCCTTAATGACCAGGTGGAGCTGGCCCTGGTCATTCACAGCTGCTGACACCAGGTAAGCACAGGGCTGGACGTCCAGAGCCTCCAGCTAGAGAGGAGTGTTGCACTAGGTCTGAGCCCGACCCGGGCAAGGTGCTGAACCCACCCAACACAGCGGTGCAGGAGCAGGGGGCAGGAGCACCACCCGATCCAGGCCAGACCCTGGGAAACCACAGGGCGGACAGCCCAGGTTTCCTTCAAAAAGGAACGATATGAAAGAAAAATAAGAATGGGGGAGGAAGAGGAAGGATAGATGAAGACATTTAAAAACAGCATCAACCAATCGCAATGGAAGGACTTTGCATCCTGATTCAAACACATCGTGAACAACATAAAACATTTAAAGACAAATAGAGGAATATGATCTTTGATGATATTACGGAATCGTTGTTAATTGTTTTTAGATAGGATAATGGAATTGTCTATGCTTTTAAAAAGAATCCCTCGCTTCAGAGGTAATGCTGCGATTTCTAGGTTTTGATTCAAAATAACTTAAGAGGAGAGGATTGGTGGGCGAATAGATTAAACAAGCGGCTAGTAAACTTGGAAGAGTCCCAACAGACAAGCATGGGACAATCTGAACAATAAAGTAAATAACAGCAGCAACAAAGCATAACTCATGCAATAAAACATTGTGGGGTCCACGTTGGGTCCCTGGGTCCATGTTGGTATAAACAAAAAGAAGTAAAGGGGAAGCTATCGCTTGTGGTGAATTCCAGTTCATAAAAAGCGCCATTTGGGAAACACCACAGTAATGACTGTTTCAGGTAAGAATTACCCATGGGTCAGGCGCAGTGGCACATGCCTCTTAACTATTTAGGAGGCTGATGCAGGAGGATCGCAAGTGTGAGGCCAGCCTGGGCAAGTTAGGGAGAGCCTGTCTCAAAGACCAAAGGCTGGGGATGTGGCTCAGTGGTACAGTGCCTGCCTAGCATGTGCAAGGCCCTGTGTTCAATCCCCGATGCCCTCCCTCATAGACATAAGCAGTGCATGGTACAGCAGGGAGGGAAAGCGTGATTAGGAAGAGGAACCAAGCACTTTCCCACAGAACGCTCATTAAAAGGAACAAACATAACTTCACAGCACAGAGCCTTGCAGACACCTCTGTGACCACCGAGCAGAGTTATCAGCGCCATAACAGGTTCTGTGCGATTCTGGCCCAAGATGTGTAACTAAAATGAAAATGTGAGGAAACAACAGGAGAACCAAATGCAGGGGACTCTACAGAATGGCTAGACGGCATGCTTCAAAAACCCCAAGTCACGAAAGACAAAGGACAACCAGGGATTGTCCTAGAATAAATGACACCAGGGCACAGGACTGCTAAGTGCAACATGTCCCCAACAACAACAACAAAAAAAAAAACAGTGGCACTGGCTGGGGACCCCTGATGGAGGTCTCCAAATTGGTCGGTGGTCCTGTACCCACGCCAGTTTCCTGGTCTATCCGTGTTCCACAGTCACTGTGTAAGCGTGAGGAGCCAGTGGACAGCACATGGAGTCCACCCCACCATGCTGGCAACTTGTACTATGTGTGAAATTTCTTCAGAGAGAAAAGTTAAAATAATTTTTAAAATAGTTATTAGTTGATAATTACTGCAGCTCCATGATGTGCCTTGAGGTTCCTGTGCTGCCCTCAAACTGTGCAGATACTTGAAATGCTCCACATGAATGTTAACAAGAGAGTCAGGACGCCTAACCCTAATGTGGTGTAGACCCAGCTGGGTTGGAGTCCAGCAAATCAACTGGAAAAGAACCCTTCTAGGACAGCTGGGGACGTTGAGCATGGATTCATCGTCGACTAATAAGGAACTATTGTTGACTTTTAAAGGTAATTTTTAAAAAATTATTTAGGTAAGATACATGTTAAATAAAACTTATCACCATAGTGACATCAGCGTTCAGGCTGCTGACACTAAGTGTGTTCACAAGGTTGTATGGCCATCTCCATCTTCCAGAGCACTTCATGGCCCCAAAGGAGATCCTGCACCAAAAAGCCCCAGGCCCCAGGCTCATAGCCACTTGTTTCTGTGCCTCTGGATGTGTCTGTGCTGGACAGCTCCTGTAAGTGGGATCACACAACAGCTCTGTCCCTCCCTGCCTGGCCTCCTGCATCCACCAGGCTGTTTTAAGACTCTTCACGCTGTAGCGTCTGTCAGTACCTCACCTTAAAAACAGACGGGAAAAAAAGTCTTTTACGAGAAAGAAGAGATCAAGCAGATCACAGCGAACCTGGCGGGTGGACACACGGGGGTCACTGCCCCCTACTTGCGTGTGTGTTTGAAGTTGCTTGTGTTGATGGACACATGGGAGATGGCATCATCTTCTCTCTACTTTTGAACGTGTTTAAAATTTCTCACAACAAAATAAAAGAAATCCTGCCGTTCCTACCTGGTGGGCTTCCACTCCCATTGCTTGCAGGGCGGACTTGAAAAACTCGGGAGAAGGTTTCCCCACCACTTCGGCTTCAATCCCACAGGCGTACTGGGAAAGGAGAGAGACGCAGCATGGGTGTGGGTCAAGAAGAGGTGCATGCCCATGAAAAGACAGGCCAATGTGTCCCTAGGGGTCAGGAGCCTTGACAAGGCAGGACATCGTGGACCTGAGAGTCACAGATTACAGGCAAGAGGGCCGTGACTCTTGTGGTCAGGTCACCCAGTGTCATCCCTGCCACCCACTGAAAGGCCTGCGGCAGCATGAGGCACATGGCAAAGCCACGGCCTCCCCCAGGCCAGGAGACCAGGGCTGGCATCTGCTCAGTTGGCTGCCACGGAGGGCCTTCCTGGCTTCCTCCTGTGCGCACCTCCAGCTCCACCACAGGCCTCCTGAGAGGTCCACTTCCACCCACCGTCTGCCCCTCCCACCCACTAAGTGTGGGAAGGCAGGAGTACTGCAGCCCTGAAGCTGACCTGGGGCAGCAGCCAGGGTGAGGGCAGCTAAGGGGATGTGGGTCAGAGTGGACTTGAGGGCCTGGCCACAGATGGCCTTGTAAACTCGAGGGGAGTATCAGGAAGGAGGTCAGTTCCATCACATCTGAGGTGCTGCTGCTGACCAAGGTCAGGAAGGAGGCCAGTGGTCAGCACAGACACAAAGCCAGGAGCAAGAGAGGAGTGCAGCAGAGAGCATGCTGGGAGAGCAGGCAGGGAGGGGCTGGAAGCGGGGACAGGGAGGACAGAGTGGTGACCAAGACCCAGAGGACGGGGAGTGCACAGCTGGAAGCCCCACACAGGAGGGGGACTTTGAAACAGGAAAGGCCACTTATGCATCAAGCCTGGCCTCTTCTCCAGGAAGGTCTGAAGGACGTCAGACGTCCCTGAAGAGGGCTCGGTGCAGAGCCAGGTGGGCACCTCGAGCGCCTTCATGTAGGCTCCGACGTCCAGCATCAGGCCCGAGGTTTCTTTGTAGTAGCGTCTACAAGAGAGCAGAAGGGAGGAGGTGAGCAGAGCCCTGGTTCGACGCCGTGCCGAGCCGACCCTTGGGGCCCCGGACAACAGAGCCCAGGGGCCCAGCAGCCCTAGAGGTGCCTGCTGAGATCAGGCCTTCGGTCTGGGTAGCTCCTGCCACCAGCCTTGGGACCCAAAGCAATGATTAACTGGGGTCTCCAGGAGCAGCTGGATCCAGTGCTGACACAGAGGAAGACAAGTGCCCTGTATTCTGGGAAGGGACAGCAGCACATGGAGCATGTGGCGAACCCGTAATTGCTAATCATTAACCCTAAGTACTGTTGAAGAAGAAAGTGCCATTAGTTCCCCAGCAGCCCACCGCATCTCCATCAGCAGAGGTCCAGCAAGGGGCCGGGCGCCACAGGCACCAGATGCTCTTGGGAGCCATCGGGAGGCCAAGTCGCCCGCAGGAGAGCTCCTTTCTTAAGACAGGTGCCATGAGGCCAGTGGCTGGGCTGAGCCCTGGTCCTTGACCTGACCTGGCCGCCCATGTCAGACCCGAGCCTCGAGGCACCTGGTCCCAGGTCCACGGAGGACCGAGCCTGGAGCTCAGAGCAAAGCCACATGGCCATAAAGAGGGGTGAAGGCAGCTCATCCTGCTGCCCTGAAGGACGTACAGAAACCCCAGAGCCGAGAGCGGGATCTGACATCAGAGCTGTGACTGTGTCCTGCCACCCACCACATCAGTGTCCCTTCTCTTCCCTGCCCTCCAGATTTAGGGATGTAAAACAAGCATGTGTGCAGAAAACCAGAGAGAAGGTGAGCAGGCTCACTTCAGGCCCAAGCCCGTCTCTGCTTTCCCGCAGGACTCGGGGTTGCCTAAAGACACACCATCAACACTCAGTGCTCCCTAGGCTGGTTCTGGAGTCCAAAAACCACTGACTCCTAGAAACCAAAATCAGAGCCTTTAATACTTCCTTCTTTTTTAACCAAATCTGGGCTGGTTTTATAGGCCAAGAATTTTTCTGTATTTCTTATTCATTCAGGAAAATAAAAAAGCCATCTTGAGCCAACTGTTAGATAAAATTTTTTGGAGGAGCAGTAAATACGAGTATTTAATCTATTTCCACACCCTAGAGACTGCGTTCATTCTCTTTTGTTTCTGATCCAAAGGGCCACAGTGGCCCTGGACAGGCCCGTGTGCTCTACCGCGAGGGGAAGCTGGCGCCAGGACAGGGGGACCAGTGGGAGCAGCAGTCAGATCCGATTTTATGCTTTATTCTCCTGCCTTTTCCGATTATTCAGCACAGCTCCCTTCAAAATGACCACTTGACCTTTCCCAGAAGAGCCATTAACCTTCCATAGTCTGTCGCGTAAACAGCTTAATTTTCTGAAGGCGGCATGACAGAAGAAATTACAAAGCCAATTCCCACTCTCGGTCCAAACAGATGCCAAATGTAAATCACTCCATTCCAGGAGGAGGACACCCTGCCCCGCTCGGCCTCCACCGCCCCTGCCTCCTCCACAGCACACGCCTCATCAGCGGCCACCCCAGCCCATGGCAGCACCTTGACAACAGCCCGTCCTGGGTCTTGGGCCCAGAGCGGCTGCGACCTCACCTAAAAGCCATTGGTTTCCTTCCCTGGCTTAACCCCCCCTTGCCCAAGTCAGGGCCCACCAGCTGGAGCCCACCCACCTCTTGCCAAACCCTCCGGCTGCCCAGGCTGTTGCATATTACAAATCCAAGAGCAGAGAGTCCGTTTTTTTTCCAACAACATACCCATTTTGACTACTCCTCATAACCTGGAATAATTAATTTAATAATTATGAGACAATTTTAAAGAAGAAAATTTAACATAAATGAGCCTTGAAGAGCTTCTTAATTATGCGGTGGTCTAGCACAGGGCTGCTGACCAAACACCCAGCGGGTGTGAAGGCAGGAAACAGAAAAATGATGTGTTGTGCGCGCACGAATATGTCACGATGAATCTCATTATTACAGATGACTACAATGCACCACTTAAAAAAACCCACCCAGCCTGGGGCTGGGGCTCAGCAGTAGAGCGCTCGCCTGGCATGTGTGAGGCCCTGGGTTTGATCCTCAGCACCACGTATAAATAAATAAATAAAATAAAGGTGTTGTGTCCAACTACAACTAAGGGGGGAAAAAAAAAAAACCACCCAAGGGCTCAGCCCAGCCCCAGCTGGGCTGACCTCCCAGCAGTGACGGAAACTGCAGAGGGTGAGAAGGGAACGTCGACGTGGCTGGGTCATGGTAACCACAGCTGATCAAACATGACTTGGATGTTTCTGCGGAGGTGTTTTCTGGATTTACATGGTGGAGTTTGAGTAAAGCAGGGCACCCTCCATGACGTGGGGGGGCCGAATCCAATCAGTTGAAGGCTTTCACCAAGCGGACTGCCCTCCCCTGAGAAGAAGGCATCAGCCAGCAGACTGAAATCTAACATCTCCTAAAATCTCCCAACTTTTACACACAGGCCCCAAAACACTTGGAGATCTTGCGAGGATCAAACATCTAGAACATGGCCTAGAGGTGCGAGGCAGAGGTCCTGGGGTTGACCAGGCCAGGGGCACTCCTGGCCCTACCAGCAGCCACCAGGTCAGGGGCTCACTTCACCTCTGTGTGCCTCTGTGCCCCCACCTGCCCGGTGGTGCGCTGCCCACAGCTCCAGGGCTGTGGTCAGAACTGAACGACATGGAGTAAGTCCAGCGCTTGGCGATGGCCAACGGCTGAGCAGAGGTCTCTTCCTTGTCCTCTCAAGCAGCTGGCCCTGTTCAGCAGGCAGATGCCATGAGACCAGCCACAGAAGGACCACACTGGACACGGCTCCTCAGAGAAGGCTGGGGATCTGCCTGAGCAGTTGGGGGAGGGCCCCGAGGTGTCCTTGTAACCGTGGCAGGCGGTGATCCTAAAACTCTAGGTGTTTCTCTTGCGACAGGATGAACCTGCATGGCTTCTGTAAAGCAGCTGGGCAACGGGCATCAGGACCCCAGAGAGGCCCACCGGGACCCTCTGAGGACACAACCCGGATGCACGGAGAAACGGCCCCCACAGGGACCAGGGAAAACAGCCCCCCAACGGGGACCCTGTCACAGAGACAGCCCCTCTTCGTGTGCAAAGCCACCCACAAGACACGGCCTGGTGAACATAAAATGAGGTGACAAAACAAGGTCCGGCTGGACACCACATGGTGAAGACGCCCTCCGTGAGGACCCCTGGGTGAGGAACACCAGGGCTGAATTCCTGGGGCAGGGGAGGTAAAGACGTCTTGTCTTCCCTTTTGCTCTGTATTTTCTAATTCTTCTGTAATGTCTGTGTGCGATCCTGGCGGTCAGCAAGGGTATGAGGAACATGACCAGGGCTGTTTCTGTAAGGAAAGGGATGGCGCTGTGGTGTGGCTCTCAAGTGTCCCCTAGTGGGCCAGGCAGTGGGCACTGGTCCCCAGTGATGAGCTGTTGGGGATGGTGGGACCTTGAGGAGCTGGGGCCTAGGTCACTGGGGTGTGTGCTTGGGGACATTGGGACCCCCACCCTGTCCTCCTTCTCTGTGAGGTGAACAGGTTTCCTCCGCCACATGCTTCCGCCAAGATCTCTGCCTCACACAGGCCGAAAGCAATGTGACCCAGTGGCCATGGACTGCAACCTCTGGAACTGTGGATCAAAATAACCCTTTTTCTTTTTAAATCGATTTATCTCAGATATATGTCACAGCAACAGAAAGATGACTAACACAAAGGGTCAGGCACATGCCAGAGGCTCAGACTAAGGGCTGCTCATAAAATTACTGCTTTACAGAGATGATGCTCTGGGACCACAGACACTGAGTGCCCAGACCAGATTATCCCCCAGGCCCTCAAGCCAATTGGTCACTACTTAGGTGTCCCTTGGGACCGTTCTTCAACACTTTGGCTATATCCTGTCCACTGCACAGCCTTCTTCTTTACTCCAAAGTTGGAATGGTCAACATTTGGCCTCTGAGATCTCTGTAGGGTCTCCATCCACCCTGAGCCTGGCCTCTCCTAGCTGGGAGTCCACACAGATGCTTGATCAACCAGCTCCAGAGGACAGGGTGCTCTGGTTTCCTAAAAAAATCACTGAAGAAAAGGAAGGGGGGAAGGCCGCCTGTGCTCCCTCCGCACCCCCTGTCTGCTTCCTTCTTGATTCTCTCAGAGAACCACAAAGCACGTCCAGGGGAGCCAGAAGCGACTGTCTCCGGGGCTGACTCACCCTTTTCCCAGGGATATGAGCACGGGATTCTCCAGCTCCATGAGTGTCTGGAAGGCCTTGTTCATGTTCTGGTAAGAAAAGCTCTCCCCGGCGTCTGCCATCACCACACAGTTTGGGTTGGACTGGTCAATCTGGTCAAACTCTGAGCGGACTCCTGGAGAAAGAGAAAGAGATCATGACCCAACCCAAGAACGACACGGCCTACCCCCGGCTCACCCAGGCGTCTGTCACATCTGCCCCTTTCTCAGAGGCTCTCCGTCCTGTTTTCTCTTTTTTATTGAACTGATGATTTCTAACGGGCACTGCTCCTGCTCCTGTCTGACCCTCACAGCTACCATGGGGGGTGGACGAGGAAGGGGTGTTAGTCTCCCCTAGTTAGAGAGTTTATTAGGAGAAAGACGGAGCTCTCCTGGACCCCTCAACCCAACACTGGCACTAGCCCGGGAGCTCCCCCACTTCAGCACAGCAGGAGGAAGCCCAGAGCTTTGTAACCAAGAGGGGAACCTGCAGAGGTGGACCCTGGCAGGAGCACAAGCTGGGCTGCTTGCAGTCTGAGCATTGGCACTGCTGGCCTCACCCTGGAAGAGCCCTGGACACTTCAGGTGAACACACACATATAGGTCCTGCCAGCCACCCCCCCCCCCGCCAGGAAGGCCTTTCCTTCTTTTACTCCCCAATTTTCAGTTGAAATAGGGAAAACTGGAAGGGTAAACAGAGTCTAGGCTTCACGGCTTCAGACCCCTTAAGAAACCTGCTCACGTCACCTTGGTATTAGGTGTTGACCTTCTGGATGAAAAGAACAGAGGTAGCCACAGCGAGACCCCTTCCCGTCCAGCAGCGCCAACAACATGAGTGCTGATGAGGACAGGGGCACAGCACAGCCCTGGAAAGGGGCAGCAGCGTCTTCTAAGACTGGACGTGGGCCTGCCCTGTCCCAGAGACTCGGCTCCCAGCCTTGACCCAAAAGAACCATCAGGAATGCTCACGGCTCCTAAGAGCCTAAAAGGGGAAACCGCCCAGTATCCACCCATATGGGGATGGACAGACTCGCCGTGGCCACTCACTCAGTGGACTACGACCCTGCACCAAAACAGAGAACAGCCCACACATGATGTAAATAAAATGTGGAGTCTCAAAAATGTTTTGGTGAAGAAAATTCTGTGAGAATTTTGAAAAATTTGTGGAAGTTTTGGCAAAAATGTTTTGCATAAGGAGCCTCTTGCAAAAGACTATTGTGGGGGTTGTGGGGTTGTGGCTCAGTGGCAGAGCGCTTGCCTAGCAGGCGTGAGGCACTGGGTTCAATCCAGCACCACAGAAAAACAGATAAATACATCTACAACTCAACAAATATTAAAAAAAAGACCATTGTGAAAGCAGGGGGCTGGCTCAGCAGGCCTGGCCTGCCACACCCTGCACGTCCCAGGAGTGGCCTGTCTTCAGGACTGACCCTCCCCCGGCTCCAAGGAGCCAAGTGCTGGGCCCCTGTGAAGCTGCCTGATAAGAGGGGGCCTCGTGCCTGAGGCTTGGGCCACACTGTGTCAGTTTGCCCTCGGGGCTGGTGGCCCTGCACACTTCCATGACTGACCGCAGACAGCAATCCTGGGCACCGGGGCTCCAGGGCTCTTCCTGCTTGCCAACACTTCACATGTGTTGCCGTCCTCATCATATCAGAGTGCCACTCCAGGGACAAGGGGAATCTCTCCCACAGCCTCTGCCCCAGGCACCTCCCTGCCTGCAGGGTTGTCTGCGTTCTTTCACTAAAGAACCCCAAGCACCAGCGTCACTGCTGCTGTGAGTCCTCCTAGGGAAACTCCCAGGCTGGGCTGGTCTTGTGGGACCCCCGACATAACCGCACAGTTTGGCTCTATTTATACGAAATTCTAGGATAAGTACACTTATTTATAATGGGAAATAACAAAATAATGGGCAGGGACTGGGGACTGACTGGGAAAGGCATGGGGACTTTCAGGTGATGGTAATGTTATAGACCTGTGTGTGTGTGTGTGTGTGTGTGTGTACTGAGCATTGAGCACAGGGATGCGCTACCACTGAGCTACATCCCCTAGCCTCTTTATTTTTTTATTTTGAGACAGGGTCTCTAAGCTGCCCAGGGTGGCCTGGAACTTGCAATCCTCCTGCCTCAGCCTCTCAAGTAGCTGGGATTGCAAGCATGCGTCCCCATGCCCTGCAGTGTTGGAGACACTGGGACACAAAGGTAGATGCACTTGTTGAAAGAGCACAAGTCTACCTGAGGTTTGAGTATTTCCTTGTATGTGAATTTTGCATCAACAGAAAAGCCACAAATAAATACTGAATGCTAGTTAATAATGTGTTGAAGCACTTCGGGGAACTTTACCAATGGCTGCCATTTACTAGGAAATGACTTCAAAATATAACACAGATAGGCGAACGGAGGGATGGGCAGACACACAGGGAAGAGTCACTGACAAAATCTAGCAGATGGGTATAAAAATAGTTGCAGTAAAATTCTTTGAGCTTTACTAAATATTTGAAAGTTTCCATAATAAAACATTGGGGGAAAATCCATCATCAATAATACTTGAATTAAAAAAAAAAAATCCCAGTTTGAAGATGCGGCTACGCGCAAGGGAAACAGAGGCAGGATGCCCCTCCAGCCTGCCCGGCTCCACTCCCTGCTCCTTCCAATGCTCAGCCTCGCTCGGCGCCGCCATTTCCCTCTGCTCCTGCCACCTCCACGCCCACCCCCAGGTCCAGAAGCCCTTTTCTGGGGTCCAGGGAGACAGAATTTCTTCAGTCTCCTTTCTTTGAGGACCAAGTTCTAAAGACTCTGGCAGGGATCCTAGTTTCCAGGGAAAGGAGTCCGAGGAACAGGATTTCTAAAGGCTGGGCAGACGGCCCTTCCTTGAGCTATGAATTCAACCCTGGGGCCTTCCGGGGGGGCCCCCTGCACCTCTGAGAGCCCCCACTCCTGCCTTGGGAAGGAGAAAAGCAGCTTGTCTCTGCCCAGTGGTTTGTAGAAATCAAAACCAAGTCCAAAGGAAGCAAGGAAGAGCACTTCCGTGCAGGACAGAGGTGTCTTGAATTCCAGGGCCCTGCTACTATCTCTGGCTTTTTAAGTATTCAGAAGGCACCAGATCATATTGCTCCTTGGCTTTGTCCCCAAAACTTCCTGCAATGAGGGTCAAAGGGGCTCTGTCTTACATTCAGACTGAAATCAGGATGCAAACCCTGTTCCTCCAGCCATCCACAAGTGGCACCAAAGAGCAGACTGGCCGTGGCAGACACGGTCCAGGGCCGTGGGTGCTGCGCTCCAGAAAGCTGCACCCAGCTGTCTGTTGTCCCTGGTCAACTCCCCGGCCCCTTGGACCAGTCTAGATCCAGGGATGCCAGTTCCTTCCAGAACTATCTGGAGTGACCTCTAGTGATCCTCTGCCAACGGGGGATGGATGGGCCCTGGTCCTAACTTACCCCCGTGAGGTCTCCGCCCCACTGGCCCATGAGTGTCATGGCAGGAACCAGTAGTTAGCTCTGTGCCCATCCCTTGGCATGGCCCAGGTGAGCCTGGGGACCCTCTCCCCAGCTCTCGCCCTGCCAAGAGGACACCTTCCCGACCCCCGGAAGGTCCCAGGATCCAGCAGGCCTACCGTCGTGGACGAGCAGGTGAGGGCGCAGGCCTCTCTCCTTCAGGACCTGACAGGTGGCGGGTGCCGGGGCAGTCACCTCCTCCTGGGAGATGTCAAATCCCAGTCGCCGAAGCAGTGCCACCAGCTCTCCCCGGGACTTCTGCGACTCGTTGGTGCAGAATCTCACCTTCAGCTGGGACCGCTTCAGTCTGTGGTGAGGGAAATGACAGGCAAGGGTGGTGTCAGAAGGTGCAGTGTGGCCTCCTGGGAAGGAACCCAGAGATGGACACTTCTCCAAGGGTAACTGACAATGTCTCCAAACAGACCAGGTCACTGTGGGACCCAGGGGTGGTCCTGACTAACCTCAGGTGTGCTCAGGCTGAGATTTCTGACCTGGAGCAGACCCTCACGGGGGACCTCAGACATGGCCCGCTCGCTGTCTCCTGCTCACCCTCACTGGACTGGATACGCCCGAGACTCCCCAGGGCTCCCCCTTCTCTTCCTGTACCTCTCCCTGTACCTGGGACACACTCACCCCTTGACCTAGGACACATCTCCGCACCTTGACCTGGGTCTCACGCCTCTGCACCTGTGCTAATTCTATCCCCGATCCTACTCAGCCCTTCCCCTCGGCCTGGCCAGAGGCCACCTGGGAATGGCAGAGCTATTTCTCTGTGCCTTTCCACACAGCATTTCCACCCGGCCTCTGAGTTCTGTACATCCAGCCTTATTGTCTTTGGGCCCACATTTCCCCCAAAGGGCTTAGGCAGAGGGACCGGGTGGAGGTTTGTCTCCTCACAGCTGTCAGTGAGGAGGGGTGACCCAACACAATCACCAGAGAAATGGATGATGGCTCCAGGTGGACAGACAGGAGCGTGGCCCGAGCAAACCCAGCACCAAGGAAGTGCGCCCCGAGTCTCCACCAATGGCAGAGCACCGCCATCCTTCCCGATTTTCACCACTGCAACCCTGCTGCATTCCGGCTGCACTTGGCCAAGTCCTCCAGAGGCAAAGCCACAGGCAGATTACCAGAAGCTCCTAATGAAATGCCATCCAACCCTCCACACACAAGCACTTACCAAGTGCTTCCTGAGGGCCTACTAAGTGCTGCACACTGGGCTGCAGCTGTACACAAGGCAAGATCCCTTCTCCAGGGTGGGTGGGAGGCTGGCAGTAATCGGGGTAGGGCAGGGTGGGCGGCCACAGGGGATGGGCAATTCCCATCTGGGGCAGGAAGGCCGGAGGAGGCCTCCTGGGGGCAGCGGCCTGGAGTTGACCCCGTGGGAAGGCAAGAAGCCAGCCACAAGGTGGAGAGGCCGCCCTGCACAGGGAAGAGTGACACTGGAGACAACCCATGGGAGGCCCATCTGCCTAAGGAGACGGGGTGGAGAGGCTGGTCTCCCTCAGCAAGGGACCAGAGCGCAGGAGGAGGCTGCACACACACAGGCAGCGCGGGCCTGAGAGGGTGTAGCCTGCCCTGCTCTGGCTCCCTGGCCCAGATCACACTGCCCTGGACAAGCCTGGGCCCCGCCCTCCAGCCCCAGGGAGAAGTCATATCAGCATCTGCTCAGAGTCACAGTGTAGAGTCACATGAAGGACCCAGGGCTGCAACTCTAAAGTTCAGAAAGGCACTTTTTAAGAAACCCTAGCAAAGTGGGCGTGGCGGTGCACACCTGCAATCCCTGCAATTTGGAAGGCTGAAGCATGAGGATCACAAGTTTGAGGCGCACCTCAGCAACTTAGACTCTATCTCAATTAAAAAATTAAAAGGGCTGGGATGAAACTTAGTGGTAGGGTGCCCCTGGGTTCAATCCTAGTACTACAAACAACAACAACAGCAACAAAAACCCTAGAAAAATTAGCTGGATCTGCTAATGGTCACTTAGCCCTGATCTCAGTCGGGTCCCTAAACACATCCATCTCACTGGTCTCTAAAACCTCTTGATTCCTCACAGAGCCTTCCCAGCTGTATATATTAATACCGTGTTCAGTGCATAATTACAATTTGTTAATAAATGTACATCTAGAGAAGGAATGTGCTCAAGTTCTGATTTTGCAGATGTAGCTCCAGTCAAAGGAGTTCAGAGGTCACACATGGATTGGACCCAGTTGCTTGGAAATGTGGCTTGAGATCAAATGGCCGTGGATAAGCGAGACCCCAACAAGAGCCACTCAACCCAGGGGGAGGCTGGCAAGTGAGGAAGCTGGGTCCCAGGCAGGTCTAGGGCTTTCTGTTCCTCTCTTGACCGAGACTCTGGGGATACAGGCGATTCTCTCTTTAATCCCATAGGGATCCTAGGACGCACGGATGGGGACCAGGAAATGGGTGCTCCCAGAGCCTTCCCACGGGGGGAGAAAGCTCGTGTTCCCTGGGAGGTCTTGGAGGAGAGTCCTGGAAGACCAGGCCAAGGATGGCCTGCAGGCCCAGTGGAGGAGGAGAGCCAGCCGCGGGCAGGCAAGTGTGCCCCAGCGCTGAGGAGGGCACAGAAGGAAGGGGTGCTGGGGAGGGAGGCCAGAGTGAAGAGGACCACTGAGAAGACAGGGGGAAGGGGGCTCCAAAGACAACCCTGTTGGCAGTGACAGCAAGTGGCAAGAGTGGCAGGCCTTGGCCCAGTGTCCCCTGTTGTCCCACCCCACCACCTCTAGCATCGTGCCCTTTTCTCTATCACATCGACGTCTCCAGTCGTCCAATTTATCTGCTTGTTCTTTGTTCTTCGCCATGACCTACAGGCTCCACAGGCTCAGGACAAGGCCCGCTCTGCTCTCTGCAGCTCGCCCAGGCCAGCCCACCGCAGGCCCTCCAGGAGCGCTCGCTGAACCACTCCCGGCGAGGGGGGGTGCGGGGCGGAGGACCCACCCACGGCTTCTCCCACGCTGTCACTCCTCACAGAAGGAGAGGCCCCACAGAGGCAGGACGGCTGCAGGGCACCTCCGGACCCTCTCAGCCGGCGGCCAGGGCAAGCTGGGCAGAAATCCGCACAGCGGAGGCGCCAACCCTGCCGTCTTCCCCACTCAGGTGACTCGTTCCTTTCTTACTATTTGCCTTTCCTAATCAGGGGTTTATGAATGATCAATTACACTCAGTGGTTAATTGCCCTTCATAAAGCTAGCTTTTTATTTTTAAATTAGGCAGTTAATATATTGAAACTAATAGCATCACCTTGTACACTGTGGATAGATCTTCATTGATTGGCGCCTGGAATGTGTGATTCACACCCAAGTTAATGGAGCAGTTGAGGGAAGAAGTGCAGGGGGTCCCAGGGGACCAATTACTCCTAATGAATGATGATGTGACCTTCTCAGAACAGTGAGCAATCGGTGTGACAGTGAGATGGCAGCACCTCACATCTGTCACTCCACATACAACTTCTGATGTGGTTGGGAGGGAGCTCAACTCACTCTGGGACCCTCACGCCCAGGACTCCTTGGAAACAGCAACGTAAGTTCGTCTGAAATTCACACTTTCTAAATCAAAGCACAAGTTTTATTGGAGTTGCATCTGTCCTAAAGAATCCAGTGGGAGACACGTAAGCACTGCCTTCCCTCAGAGTCCTGTCCATTTGTGCCACCATGTCCCCTTCTGATGTGTCACCATGGGTTCTGTCTGGCCACCTGGGACCAGTCCTAGGTGGACTCTTCATTATTTTAAATTACTAAAATTAATAAAAGTAGTCACCATGACTGTGAAGACGGTGACATGAACACAACCCTGCAGGGGCTCGGGGGCACAGGTGGTTTGCTGTCCCTCACACTCATGCCCAGGCCCAGGCACCTGGCTTGCAGGCGCCCACACTAAGCAGCAATGCAGCCAGGAAAGGGGCCTGGGCGGGACAACCACCCCTCCCTCCAGAGAAGAAAACTCAGGGGCGCTGGGGCCGAGCTGACCCAGGTCACCCAGCCTGTGGAGGCAAAGCCGTGAGCCCCCAGGGTCTGTGGTGGCAGGCATGGGCCCTTGCCCAGGAGGACAAGACCACCAGGACCCTCAGGTGGAAGCCCAGTGCCCTGGGAGGGACCCTGCAGGCCCAGCTCTGCCGCAGGTGTCCTAAAGCCCGGAGAGAGTGCCTCAGCTGCCCCCTATGTGTGCACGAGGGACAGGCAGAGTGACTTGGGGTCCAGCACCAAAGTGAGGCCCTGAGTGGCTTATGCTATGAACTAAATGTGTCCCACAAAAGGGCTGAAGCCCTGACCCTCGATGTGGCTGTCAGGGGGAGCCAGTGCCTAGGAGGATGAGGGTGTGGTTCCGGTGAAACCGAATCAGGAGTGGCGCCCTGATGTGACAGGACTGCTGTCCTCATGAGAAGAGGCCCCTGAGAGCCCTGCGCACTTCCTCTTGCTCTCTCCTGGGGACACAGGAGGCCCTGGCCAGAAAGCAGCCATGCTGACTCCCTGGGCTGGGACTTGCAGCCTCCAGAACTGTGGAAAACCAAGCGTGTGACATTGAAGCCACCCTCGCGGACAGTGGGATCCAGTGGACTGCTCCAGCAGGCCGACAGACAAGGAGCCCCGCAGGGAAGGCCAGGCCTGGCCCAGCTCCCAGAGAGTGGCAAGGCAGTCTCTGCAAAGAGGAACTGCGGCTGCAGCAGGCCAGCTCCAGGCGGGCTACTGTCCCCAACCCCAGTGCCAAGAACCTGGGAGAAAAGGAGCCTCCTGCAGGGTCCTGGCTGCCCAGATGGCCCTTCCAAGGCCCTGGCTGCTGCCCTGGCGCACTAACCCCAGGAGCTCCTGGGGGTGGGGACTGCCCCACTTTCTGGTCCAAACTGGATCTTTGAACTGACCTTTACCTCATCCTAGCAGGCCAGGACGCGCCTCTGAGTGACAACGTCGCCTGGTGCAATTACCGAGCTTCAGATGAGGCAGTCCTTTACAAATCACCTCGGACTTTACACATCTGCTGGCTGTCGGCATCTGCCAGGAGCGCTCACCCGAAAATAATGAAAACCCTCTCATTATTGTTCCGTGGCAGGTAAAGTGTTAGGACAATTATTGGACATCCTGAGTGACCTTGGGACGGCTCAACAGCCTGCCCTCTCCAGCTTGCCGAGGACAGGGAAGCCAGGGGTTCTACCTGGAGGGCAAAGGGGAGGCTGGGTGGGGGTGAGGAGGCTGCCAGGGACAGAGCCACCCAGGCCCCTCCCCCGGGCCCCCTCCTCCCCACCCTGCCCTGGATTTGTCAACCCGAGGCCCAGAGTCAAATCCTGCTTTCCCTCAAGGCCTGGAGTGTGAGATCTTCCCCAGGAACTCTGACCCCGCCTTGCCCAACAGAGTCCACCCAGCTCCAGCTCGGCTGTAGGTGTCCTCACGACTTCCACCAGCTCTGGGCTCCGGGGGGTCAGGGCTGTGTCCTATTCAGCACCCACCATGCCTGGTGCCACAGAACAGGTGTCACAGGAACTGCTAAGTGAGGGAGCACTGGGGAATCCTGGGACATGGCTATCCATGACCTCGGTGACCAGGGCCTTGCTTTACCAACATGGGCAACTGGGAGGGATAGGACTATGGAGGGCAGCACCAGGCCTGGGTGACCTAGGCTAACGGAGCTCAAGAGGGCCTCCAGGCTGCAAGGAGCTGCTGGGAAGGGCCACAAGGACCTGCATACGGGGAGTAGTGCCACCAGGGGGCTGGGAAGTGCTGCCTGGTCCACAACACAAAGCTGGAGTTTGGGACAGGGAAGCTCAAGGGTTCACGGGGTCTGACACTGGCAGGGAGTAACACGTTTCTCCTGCCCAAGGTGGCCTGGAGGCCCTCTAGAATTCTGCACAGATGCATCTGGCATGGTACTTAGTGACCAGCATGCTGGATGCAGTACTGGGAGAAACATCTAGATGATATAAACTCCAGATCTGATGGCCCACCTAGAACCCAAGCAGTTCACACGAGGAAGCTTCCACTTCCCGAGCACCTCCCACCTTCCTGCCACACCTCAGACCTCATCTGCGCTGTGAGGGAGGCTCCTGAGGGCCACTGAAATGGGTGCAGGGCACAGAGATACGCACCTGCCTCAGCGTCCTCGGAGACGTTACCAGCACCTCAGGGGAAACGCTGTGAAACCAAGGTAGGTGGCAGCCCCCGAGGAGCTTCCTCAGCAGGGCCACTCCCTTTGGTTCTGAGACCCTCGCTCAGTGCCCTTCAGACAGCAGCAGAGATGGAAAACACACCTGGAGAAGTGAACTCTGAGAACGCAGGATTTTAAAACAGAAAGTCAAACGGGAGCCTATAAACAGACTCAGTAGAAAAAGACAGCTATTGGCATGACCCAGGGACAGCCACAGTGGTGTGGGCAGGGGCCTGGTCCTCCCTCCACGGGCCTCCACTTGTGTCAGGGGCAGCCACAGAAAGGTGCACCCATGGCCAGACTCTTGAGATCCTTGTGTGCCAGCACTGAAATGGGGCAAAAGCACTGCCCGGCCTCCCAGGGCTGCATGAAGCAGACACAGCCAAGGCTGGCCCAGAAGGGACACCCCGAGTCTCTTGCTGGCTGGCAGCACCATCAGCTCCTGAACAGCAAAGGACACTGATGGTGGCCAGGGCCAGGCACTCAGCTGGGCCTGCAACACCTTCCTCCTCCTCCTCCTCCTTCCACTGGCCCCCAGAAGGGCAGCCTCCTGCTAGGCCAGCTACTCCATGCCAGGGCCCTCCCCGTGCTCCACGAGACACTGCTGGGCAGCAGTGCACACCCTGGTGTCATCAAAGTCCAAAGTCTGAAACAAGAAAGGAGCAGCAGGGACACAGAAGCAGGGTCTCTCCGTGTGCACCAGCCAGCCAGTGACCTCAGCAGGACACTGATGAGGTCAAGCAGGCAGAGTCAGGCCCCCAGCCAGCTCCCTTACGAAACACCTGAAACACCCACCTGGCTGGGCCTGCTTCCCTGCCTGCAGAACACCCTCCAGCAGGCTCTCGATGGCACCCCAGCCACGGAGCTCGGACCCCAGGGTCAGGCCAAAGTCAGAGCATGGATTCACAGGGATTAGAAAACACCACTTAGAATCAAGTGCACAGGAATCTGCAAGCCAGGGGAGGCCGAGCATCTCACCTGAGCAACTCACTTCAGGGAGCGAGGGACTGAGGCCCAGAGGGGCACAGGGAACCTAGGAGCAGGCAGGGACACTTGAGGGGACTCCCCAGACTTGCAAGCCCTGCAAACCCAGCCACAGCCAGTTGTCCCTGAGTGTCAGGGCCAGGCACTGCAAAGGCAAGGAGTGTCCACACCTCCTCCCTTCATGGCCTGCCACTTGTCACCTAACCCTCTCCAACCTCAGGCTCCTCATCGATACAACAAGGCAGTTATAGTGGCTTCAGATAGGGTTGTCGTGAGAACTGTATTGTAAAAAGACACACACGGGAAGCGTCCGGCACATCTACACCAGCAAACATAAGTAACAACAAATTGTATAAATTGATGTTTATGCACATTACATTGTTCTATATCTTTTCATTTAGTTTATACAACTTTCATGTCATATGAACTCATATGGATCCCAAATGGAGCTACCCTGTTCCTCTCACAGCTGCGGAGGATGCCACAATCCCGCTGAGCACACGCCCCCCCACCAACTGTGCTGTGAGTGCGCTCCCTGGACCTCCTAACTGTCATTCTTTAAAACACTTTCATGCTTTTCATTGATTGACCTCATAATAAACATAGATTTGAACTCAAAAAATATACTCTATTCAAACACTGTTTCTTGTTTTTTTTTTTTTTTTCATTTAATTTTGGAGTTCTCCAAATTTCACTTGGTGGATAAATGCTCTGAGGCTAATAGAGCTCAGAGTCCCTGGCTTGGGGAGACTTCACGGGGTCTCCAGCCTCTGGGGACCCATGAACCTTGCATTTTCCTTGAGCAGGGAGGGGAGGGTGGGGCAGAGCCGGGTGATGGCAGCTGCTCAGGGGGCTACATATGATTGGAGGATGGGGGACAAAGTCTCAAAAAAATCTTCTGTGCTTTCAGGGAACACAATGGAGAAGGGCTAGAGGGAGCCGCTATGTCACCCTAGGGCAGTGATAGCGGTGGGGCCAGGGAGGGAGGACTTGGACTTTTCTCTGTATCCATGGGCTCCTGGGAGCATTTGCAAGGAAGCCACTTAGCTTGTGAAACCTCAATGTTGACATTACGAAACAGAACACAGGGAGCCCAGGATGAGGAGCACACCTGCTGCCCCAGGCCACCACCCCCATCTCTGAAGACAAGGCAGCCACCCCCTAACAGCAAAGGGCACCGAAAGTGACAGCACAGTCTTGGTAAACACCCCTTGTCCAAGGTCCAGGCTGCTCCAGGAAAGCTCTTGCTGGCTGAGGCAAGTCCGGTCCACACCTCCAGGGCCCTGGATGGTGCTGTCCCCCAGGCGGGCTGAGATGCGGGCCTGCAGGGGAAGCTCCAGCCAGCGGCCACAGTCCCTGTTACTACTGTTACTGCCAAGGACCTGTGTTCCCAAGGCCAGACAGTGCCAGGGCAGCAGAGCATTGACCAGGTGGTCCCAGAAGTTAAGAGAGGCTCGATTCAGACCAAGGTCCCTGGCCCTGGTCCGTCACTGCTCTACAACCTGCTGGGAGCACCTGCATTTTAACAGGGTCCCCAAGGCTTCTGGTCACACTGGGGATTGAGAGGCACCACCTGCAAGGCTGGGCTCCAGGGCTGTGGGACGGTGGGGGTAGGAATTGCTTTATGAGGCTGTCCTGGCTGAGGTTGACCCTGCTTCCTTCCGCTGGCTTGGGCCGCCTGGCAGATGTGCTTTAGTGGCCTGGGACAGGATGCAGTAAATGTCCACTGCCTTTCACATGCAGATGTCTAGGGGGCCATCGTCCAGGGCCAGCAGTGTGTGCCTTTGTGCTGCAGTCCCCGCTGTGCTGGGCCCAGCCTCTGAAAGGCTCCCCTCGGGGAGCCCACTCCGCCCAAGAATGGGCTCTAATAAAGGCCTGCGGGGAACCCAGGCCAGGTACAGATGTCCAGACCCGCCCACCAGTCCTAGAGCAGCTCCAGAAAGGAGCAGGCAGCCTGGGGACCCGGAGCCACGCTGCCGGGGAAGACTAGGGAGGCCTGGACCTCCTGCTCCTCCCTCTGGACAGCTCTTGGATCCTGGGCATCTCCTATCCCAGCTCACACCTCGTGGGATCTGCAGGACTGGGCTGTGGCTGGCTCAAGGTCTCCCCAGCTGACATGCCATCCTCTCTGGGCACAGGCCTTCACTGCTGACCTCCCTGCTCCGCCACGATGCCTCGACCAGGGCCTAGGTGTCCGGCCACCTTGTTCACCACCAGAATGCCCAGCGCCCAGAGGGTGTTCTTGGAAGAGTGAACGTGGTCACTCAGCGTCAGGTGTCTGAGTAGCCAAACCAACGAACGAATGGGCGAATCTTTAAAGTACACCCAGCCCCTTTTTGAATCTGTAAGCCTCAGCCCTCGCCTTGGAAAGGGGAGCGTCCATCTTATTTCGAGAGCTGAGTTTGCACTCTCTGTGTGCTTTCCGTCCCCCAATAAGTGGGAATCTTTCAGACACTCTAAGGGCACCTGTCACTACAGAAAATGCAGGAGAAGAAGTGGGGACAGCGAGTTACTGCCTCCTAAACTCACAGCATAAGGACATGCTGGGGGTCTGCCAGGGAGGTGGAGGCATGTGCTCCCCAGACCTGTCCCTCCCCCACCACACTTGTCCCTGTTTGGCAGTTGGTCTTGCCCCAGGAACTTCCTGTGAGCCCCTAAGGGACTTCAAAGGGAGCCGTGCATTTCAAGGAGGACACAGAGGAAGGGCACAAAGAAGCCACATAGGACAGCTGGATCCTGGCAGCTGTGCCCCTTGGTGAGCGGGGCCTGGCCCTAAAGGAGCTCGCTGTTGTCTCAGCCGCAGGGAGGAAACCCCCTGGGAAGCTCCAAAGGCAGACCCACAGCCTGGGTGGGAACCTTGTCCTGACAAGCCAATCGAGGAGCTGAAGAGCACCAGTGTGGGGTCAGGGTCTATGGGACAAGCTGCTCAGGGCCAGCAGTGACAACCTCACCAAGAAGTCTGTGTGACTGAGAACCAGTGAGAACCCCAAAGGTCACCTGAGAAGGCTCCACTGGGCCAAGGAGGGGTGTGGAGACACGGTCCTGAGGCAGGGGAACCAGGAAGCTGCAGGGAAACCAGGCAGGTAGTTCTTGGGGGGCCCGGACAGCACATGATAAAACCTCCCAGATGGAACAAATGATGTCGTCTCACCAGAAACAGTCTCATAAACTTTCAGCAAGGGACTTTTCAGCTTTATCAGCCATACAGCTGGCTTTGGTGTATTTTATAGGACCATTATTACATCACAGCTGTTATGCAAACTGCACCTCTTTGGAGAACCCTCAGGCAGCATCTCCCAAAGCTGAGCCTGGCTGTGGCCCAGCCTTTCCACTCCCACCTCTGCATGCTGCATGGATGCATCCGTGTGCTCACCAAAAGACACATTCTAGAATATTCCCCGCAGCACGACTCATAATAACCCCAAATGGGGAAAAAAAAAAAATATATATATATATATATATATATATATATATATATATCCTCTTTAATAGAATAATAAATTGTGATCATCACACAGTAATGAGAATGAACAATCTACAACCACATGCCATAAATATGGGGCAAATCTGTAAACAACACCAGTGAAAGAAACAAGACACATGAGTTAATCCAAGTACTGCTCATGCCAGGCAAACCAGTCTACAGTACTAGGAATCAGCAGAGAGGTCTCCCAGGGGCAGAGACACAGGGGCCTCTGAAGTGCACAAGTTCTTTTCAATAGTATAGTCACCTTAATAAAAACTTGTTTTAAATGGCCCTGATATTAAAAGAATTAAAAGTATATATAACAGGAGTTTTTATCAATAACGTAGAAAATGATATTTAAATGTTGCACTATTGTGGGGTCTACCACAATGGCCTGAGCACTGGGACCGGAACTTGACTCAGGGCACCTGTGCCTCCAGGGCACCTGCCCATGCACTCTCTTACCACCCTGCTGTGTTGCCGGGTGCTCAAGACAGATGAGGAAGGCACCCTCTATTTCATGTTCTCCCTGGCCCCACAATAGCCAGTGTGTCAGCAGGTCCATTGGTCCTACTTTAACCATGTCCTTCCCCATGTGACTGTCTCCTCTCTCAGTTGAGCCTCATCAGCTCTCCTGGGCCACCTGAACTGTCTCTGAACTGGTAACCCTATTTCCTCCCTAGCCCCTGGCCACCTGCTTCCTGCCACTCCATTCTCCACACTGCAGTCAGGGAGAGTTGTTTATAGTTTTAATTTAATGCTTTGAATGGGGAAATACATTTGTTTCGTTTTTTAAAAAACCTTTTAATCCAGTAAGTCCCAAGTTTTCAATTCTGGGATATTTCAATGAAATTGACGCAGAGGCATTAAAATAGGCAGAAATCATAATCTAAAGTCTATATATACTTTATATATTTCACATGTGTATTTTTAAACACTCTAATAATTCACTTACTACTCCAGAAACACAGTATTTATTTCAAAAGTTACAAATGGCTTATTTTTGCTCAATTTAAGTTTTCAGGTCTGATATCCAGGACAATGGCACTCAACAGGTGACAAATATGCTATACAAAGTCTACAATGAACTTTCTCCCATCCTCCCTCTCAGCTACCAATCCTCCTGGCTTATCCCCCCAGCTCTTCATCACACTTGGAGTGGCATGTGTCCTTCTGAGGCAGAAGAAATAAGAAAAAGATAGAAAGGAAACATAAACAAGAACAAGGAGATGTTATTTTAATCTGAGGCTCCATACAACTTTCGAGGCCTGTTACTCTCCAAGCCACTCTCCCCCAGGCCTGTCACTCCTAAAGTTCTGGGAAATCTGTAAATCTTGGAATTATTGTAAATTCTATTATCTACCAATAAACAGATTAAATAAAGGGAGATAATGGTATTTTAAGAAACCAACAATTTAAGGGAACTTTCCAGAGTTGTCCATTGATCAGATAATGAGACCACACGCAGTCTAAGGATCCCAAAAATGACCAGACCACATAAGTCATCATAAGTCATCTCATGATCACCAGACTGAAGTCATACCTTCCTGTCCCCACCCCTCACCAAGCTTCCTTTCAAACAGGAGCTGGGTCCCCCCAAGTGCATCTCCCACTCAAGGTGGCCTACATTCTCCCCTGAATTTGCATTCCTTGCTTTCCTAAATAAATCTCTGTGCCTGCGACACATGCCGAAATTCTTTTCCTTCATGTCAAGGACTGCACTTGTCCTGAGTCGGAATCCCCCATTCTCTGTGAACTCTTTGGGACTCCTTCCAGTGACACTTGCAGAGTCTTTTTGCAAACATGGCAGTAGGAACACATTATTGCATTTCTGCCTTTTCTACCCAAAGGTGGGTGACTGTGCAGCCTGCTATCTTTACCAAAGGTGGCTACAGGGAGGGGAGCCCACTCCTTACGCTGCTGGTGTTCCACGTGCAGACGGGAGGCGAGGCTCCGGGGCTGACACGTTTGAAGAGAATTTACTCTTGCTATTTCAAAAGGCACTGCTACAAATGACCTTGTCCTTTTCACTTCTTGAGTGAGGCAGGGCAAACTCCAGGAGTGGACTGATGTGCCAAACGGACCTTCCACTAGCACAGGACGGCAGGGTCTGTTTCCACAAACTCTCACCAAGAGAACTCATTCTCAAACTTCTTGATTTTTGACAATTTTGTCAAGTTGATTTTTTAAAAAATGGCATCTTGGTGTCATTTTAATTTGCATTTCTCTTCTCTGAGTCAGGCTAAGCATCCTTCATAGGTTTGCAGAGCAACCTGTGCTTTCTCTCCTGGGAGCTGTTATGTCCTCTGGCTATGTTTCCATTGGGCTGCTGCTGATTTTTTGTTGTAGATTTGAGGCACAGAAATAAAGCCTCCTTTCACTCTGAGATGTCAAAGGAAATCTCCCTGTTTTCATTGTACATATATGCTTTCACCTTTTACATTTAAATTTCTTTCAAACATAAATTGGATCATGTTAGTCTGCATAAAACCGACCCTCAGGATGCAGCAAGACAAGCTCCGCAGCCCCAAGCCCCTGCCACTCCTTGAGCCCGGCATGCTCTCTGCCTCAGGCCTCGCGGCTGCTGCTGCTTCTGCCCATATGGCACGTCCTCGGTCCCCATCTTGTCCCTCGGGTTCCGCTCAAAACCTCTCCTCAGAGATATCCTGGCCTCCCGTCTAGCACAGCCACCTTCCCCTGTCATACTCTCCCAGGTCCCCCTCTTCACATCACTTACACCAATCTGTGGTGACGGAGTCTACTGAGCTGTATGCAGACACTGATGACCCTGGGCCCCAGCTGCCTCAGTCCCAGCACTGAGGCTCTGGCCTCCTGCTCCCCCACCTGAGGCCTCCTCACTCTAAAACACAGCCCTTGCCCTCTGCTCCATTTCTACAGTCCCCACCCTCACGATGCTCTCGACTGTGACAGAGCTTGTCTGAAGCTCTGGGTTTGGGAGAATGAAGCGGAAGCCAGGAAAGCACCTACCCCTGGACTTCCAACCACACAGAGCCTACACTGTGGCCGGGTGTCTCCTAGATCTGAGCTGCCCTTCACATGCACTCCCTCTCTCCCATTCCCAGTACCCCAAACACTTCACTGCGCAGCATAGTTTGGGTCCCTGTTATCTCCGCAGCTCCCACACATACAGATGGATAGGGTGAGGTCTCTGAGAACAACCAAGAGGGTCACTGTACTGCCATCTACAGGGTGGTAAACTGAGTCCCAGTGGGATCAAGCCACCAAGTCAGGGTGTTCTAGCTAAGTGACTCTGGAAGGCTAAGTTCTGGGCAAAGCGCCCTTCCCAACCGCCCATTAACATCACAGCAGTGCTGGCCAGGGGCACCATGGGAAACTATAAAGGCCAGGCTGGGTAGTGCCAACCATGGTACTGGCAGTGCCCTCTAAGGGCAAGGCTGGATGGGCCAAATGCCCCCCTCTTCCTCTCCTGTAAACCATTTGGTCCGACACAATTGCATGGTAAGACGAATATGTAAACTTTTCTAGTAAAACGTCAGGAGAAACAGTGGAATTCATTTCACATGCTTATGCTAACATAGTCATATTACTGTCATTCCAACACGTAATCACCATAAAACAATACTAATGAGCTACTTTACATTTCTGTAAACCTTGGAAACCCAGAAAGTACTGTATTTTACACTCTCATATCACATCTCAGTGCAGACTAGCCTCAGTCCAACCCGCTGGGCAGCCACTTGGCGGGGTTGGACAGCGCAGCTCTAACTTGCCAGGCGCAGCGCCGGGCGGAACCAGGGCGGGGCGGGGCCAGCAGGCAGCCCCGCCCCCCGCTGGGGGTCGCCTGCGCCCAAGGAGCGCAGGCGGGTATCCGCCTGCCGGACAGCGGCCCACTCACCTCGCCACCGCCTCCACCGAGCCGGCGATCGGGACGCCGCCGCCCTCGCCGCTGTCGTACAGCACTCCCGAGATGTCGAGCAGTACCCCGCGCACACCAGCCAGCCGATCACCCCACGCGGCCATTGCGCCCCGAGTGCGCCCGGACCCCCCCTGTCCCAGCCGGCCGCAGAGCCCGGCCCCGCCCTCCGCGCAAGGGCGCCTGGGACATGTAGTCCGGGGCGGGCACGGGCCCTAGCGGGCGGGGCTGGTGGCGCGGGCGCGCCTCCCGCGCTCCCGGGAGCAGGTCTTTCCCTGACTCTGAGCAGATCCAGCGGGAGCAAGTCCCTCGGAAAGTTAACCTCCCTAAAACTCCGGGCACGGCAGACTGAGTCGATGTGAAGGTACCTGTGAAAAGAACGAAAGTGAAAGAAAACTGGCTGTACCCGCCGCTCGCTGGGGTTCTCATCCTTCCGGGGCAGAGTGACAGCCCTACAAGCAGCCAGTGGCGCACCTGTTGATTGACAGTCCTGTGCCTGGGAACCTGTGCTCTGGAAATGAGTCCAAAAGCGATGATTGTGGTGTAAGGACAAGCTGGAAGAAAATTAAATGTTTAAGAATAGGGATTGTTCAAAAATGGATAAGATGGGTACTGAAAGAAATATGATCTTATCAGAAATGGAGACAGGTATCGACCATGGAAAATACTCATGTGCAAATATATAGGGAAAAGTAAAAGACAATATTGTAGGTAGACAACAGTCCTGCAAAAATGAGCATTACAGGAATAGGACACGGAAGAAAATGGCAGTATCCCGATGTGTTAGGTCAATGAGTTTCGGGTCGAATTCAAAATTACATTTACTATTACTTTATTTTTCAACAAATAAACATTGATATAAAAGGGAAGGTTTCACCCCGCCAGCCTCAGCAACTTAGCAAGGCTGTGTCACAAAATAAAAAAGTAAAAAAAAGGCTGGTGATGTAGCTCAGTGGCAAAGTGACCCTCCTTTAAATCCCCAGTACCAAAAATAAATAACAGGGATGGCTTCCTTGGAAGCCCTTTTGAAGTAATCTATTAAATTAAAGAGAGAAAATCTGACTTCTGGTATGATTTAGCTTTGAGGTTTAAAGGGATAGGGACTATATTATTCTATCACTTCATTTCAGGCTCTTGTTTCACAGGAAGAATGAAGAATTCATCAAAATGGGGCTGGGGTTGTGGCTCAGCGGTAGATCGCTTGCCTAGCACAACGTGGGAGGCCCTGGGTTCGACCCTCAGCACCACATAAAAATAAGTATAATTGTGTCCATCTACAACTAGAAAATTATATATATATATATATATATATATATATATATATTTATATACATATATATTTATATATAAAGAATTCATCAAAATGTCAAAATTTTAACACAGTCCAGTGAATTGTGCATATTCTGTTGATAATCTTCTTGGAGAAGCTACTTGAAGCTGTTTGCCAGAGAAATATAAAACGTAGTTCCTATCCTGAGGAGATTTACAATGCCAGAGAGTAGTAATATACAGTATGTAAAGGTCCTTAGTTGCAGACAGTAGAAACTGCTCCAGCTAGAGGGGTTTATGCAGGGTGTGAAAGAGCATGAAGATTTCTAGAGGGGTTGGAGAACCAAGCTCAAGTACTAAATGGCCAGAAGCCATGCATCTATGACAAATGCCTAATGGCACTGCCCCACTCCTTGGCTTCTAAGATGCCGGGAACTTAATGGTACAGCCCCCAGCACACTGTGGCAGAAAAGCCAAACACATCCAACATTTCCCCTCAGAAGATTCTTTCCTCCTGTGGCCACCACCTCACTTTCACTGTGTCTGGTTTAATGGAATCTAGTCCAACCAGCTAGGGAATCTGGGAAATGCAGTTTTTAGACTTGCAACTGCAGGATAGGAGCTGAGTCAGTCTGAAGAATCTGCCATAAACATCAGGAAACATACGCATGTTGAGTCTCTGCTCTGGGCAGTGGACACCAGGCGTGCAAAATGGTCAACATCTGATCTTTACCTTCAGAAGTCAAGATTGAGCAGAAGACAAGGTATATACCCTCAAGACTGCTGGTCCAGTGTGTGCTGTGTGCCAATGAGTGATACAGATTCAGCCAAGAAGGTAGTCTCTGCAGGCTAGGGAGGGCAGCAGTGGCTTTTGAGCACATGGGCAGCCTGAAATGGACATTTAAGGGGTGCTTCAGGCAGTGGTGTGAGCCTATACGTACTTCTCTTTTCAACAAGTTCTGTGTGACCTTGGGTAACTCACTTTCCATCTCTAGGACAGTGGTAGATAGAAAAGTGTCCCCTTGAGATATCCACATCCTAGTCCCCAGAACCTGTAAGTGTGTTCTCTTAACATGACAAAAAGGGACTTTGCAGATGTGATTATGCCTGAGATCTAGTGGGGAAATGATCCAAGTGGGCCCAACATAATCACAGGAGTCCTTTTTATGGAAGGAGGGAGGCAAGGGAGAGTCAGAGGGAATGTGACAACAGAAGCAGAGATCGAGAGAGAGATTTGAAAATTCTAGCATTGATTTAGAAGGACCATGAGCCTGGAAAGACAGGTGACCTCCAGAAGCTGGGGAAGGCAAAGAAATGGCTTCTCCCCACAACTTCTAGAAAGAAATGTGACCCTTCTTGTACCTTGACTTTAGGACTTCTGGTCTCCAGGACTGTAAGATAATAAATCTGTCATTTGGAGCCACTAAATTGGTGGTATTTGTTACAGAAATGATAGGGAATAAATATAAAACCCCATTTCCCTCACCTGAAAAATGATACATTGGTCCAAGGTGGCAAGTGTCTAAGTGTACAACAGTTGAGCTGAGACCTGATCCAGAAATCCAAGACATTTCTATAGATGTAATGGGCAATGGGTCTTCTCCAAGGTAGGGTCACATTTGGTTATACATGACCAAAACCCAATTCTGGTTGCTCAGCCAAATACTGATTTTTCCTCATGTGTCACAAATCTAGGAGGAAGGCAACCCTGAGAGGGTTCCACAGCTCCTGGGACCAGCAGGCAGTAGGCTGCTTCCATCTCTCGCCACCATCACACTTACATAAGGCTTTGAGGCCTGAAGATGCCTGCTGTACCCCCTGGCATCACTTCTGCTTTTCAGGCAGGAAGGTCCAGAAGAAGGAAAATAAAACTGCACACAGAATCCTAATCTGATGGATTCTTGTTTGCATGTTTGGTGCCAGAGCTCATCAAATAGCACATTTACACTATAATGTGCAGGGTGCACACTTCACCAACAGAGCTTTGGGCCTGTTGCATTCCAATGACAACTCTACAAATCACATCTGAATTTCAGCTCAAACATGAATCCATCAGTTCTCTATGCTGTAGTCAAGGTATGTATAGCCCTTTTATATTCATTTTTATTAGTCAACACTTCAGTTGTCAGTGACAGAAACCAAACTCCACATGGCTTAAATTTAAAAGGAATATATTGACTCATAAAATAGGATAGTCTAGCAATTGAAGGTTTCAGACATGGCTGGTTATCAGCTCTGGGGTAACCGAGTCCCAGGTAAACCACCTGGAGAAGAACTTTCTCCTCAAGTTGGTCTGACAGTTCCAGAATGAACTTTAATTGGCTCCCTTAGGTCGGTGCCTCTATTCCCCGTGACTGTGTTCAGAGGAAAGTGGTATTGTTAGGATCCAGCCTGACTCATATGCCTCATCAGGGCTAGAGCAAGGGCACCTTTATACAGTCCCATCATGGCCACATGGAATGGCAGGGGGAAGCCCCCCACCATAACATTACAGGGCACTGTAACGCGAGCGAGAAGGACGCAACCATGTATGGGCAGAAGGAGCCGGTGCCTACTACCCACAGGGGCCTTTGTTCTTGTTATAAAATTCTGTCTGCCTTGGAAAGTGAGGCCAAGCCAGGAGAGGTCCATGTGGTCCAAAGGGTCTCCTGTCTTACTGAGATGGGCTAGGCAGGGGGGAAATTTGGAAAAACATTGAAAAGTGCTTCTCAATCAGTCACCTGGAGATTGAGAACACAGGCTTGAATTCGGGAGGTTGGGGACGGCCCTGAGAGTCCTACACATGGCCTCTAGCGTGTCTTGAGTATCTCACAGCATAATAGCCAGAGTCTAAGAGGAAATGTCTTAAGAGCCATTGTACCAGGGAACAAGATGGAGGCTGCAGGCTTCTCGTGACCTTGCCTGAGAAGTCAAAGAGTCACATGAGCCATGTTTTACTGGGTACTGAGGGGCAGGCCAGATTCATCATGGACATGAACTACACAGGGTGTGCACACTGAGCAGTGTGGCTTACTCAGGGGGTCTTCTTTGGAGAACAGATACTACTACATATTTCTACAAGAGTATCAGAAATTCATGGTCCTTCTCCTGTGCTTTTCTTTTGCAAAGATCATGGCTGCCCAGCATGGATGACCCATTTATAAACACCAGGTGCTCCTCAGAGGCACATTTCCCCCAAGTTGAATCCATTGTGAACCCACAGCCATACCTAAACATTTCTCAATCCTACCTTTATCATGGGCCCGTACTCCCTCTTAAGGTATGGGTTTCCAATCCATCTTAATCAAACTGTGAAGTTCTGGGTTTATATTACAGGGCCACCATTTATTCTTTTCAACTTTTCAACCTACTCTGCTAAACACCAGGGTGTCTGTGGGTACAAAGACAAATGATCTGTGACCTCTTACTTTAAGATGGTCTGAGAACCAGGAAGTCTGTGTCCTATCAGTGTGATAAAGCTGTGCCGGCAGGGTTCTTTGACTCTGGCTGCTTTAATTCTAATAGAATTGGGGAGGAGGGCAGGAAAGGCCTCACAGAAGGAGTAACACTTGACAGAAGAAAGTTGAAAATGAAAAGAAGTTTCCCAGGTAGATCTGGGCTGACGACAGCACTGCTGTGCTTGGTGGCACATGACATAGGTGTGGGAGCAAGCGCTCCCTAGGGCTCTTCTAGTTGTGAGGACTAGAGCTCTCTGGGGTGGCTCACAAACTGGTGGAGAGGAGTGTTAGGGATGCAGGGAGGTTCACAGGGACCCTGGGATGTGTTATGCACTTTTTTTTGTCACGGGGACCAAAATACCTGACAAGAACAACGTTGAGGAGGGAAAGTTTATTTATTTTGAGCTCACAGTTTCAGAGGTCTCCATCCATGGTGGGTTGAC